ACAAGGTGGCAGAATGAGGAGGAGCATTTTGCTCAGTTCTAGCTGGCTAGGTTTTAGCTATTGTTTTGAAAACTGCTTCAGCATTACATGGCAGTACCCTAAAAATGGCAATTCAGCCCTGCTGTAATGCTTGCACCCAACTAATCAATTAATTTTTATCATGAACATGAGCAAGTGAGCAGTTCTCACACTAACTCATTCTCTGCTCTCATGAAATAACTTTTCTCATCAAACTTTTCCCACACTAAAGTGGTACACTGTCTTCCAGGTAAATCAAAGGGCCAATATAAACCACTTTTCCCGTAAAGAAAATTTTTATTTCAGCAAAAATTTTTGAGTTCCAAAACTGATGTCAGTTTAAAGGTGGAACATATTAACATCAGATTATTTTTGGTGAGGGTGAGATAATTGCAAAAATGTTTTTGTTTAAAATCATACCAGGCATAATGGCCAAGTTGAAATTTCTGACTGTTATAGACTCTCTATATAAGGCCAGAAGGAATTTATTTTCTGAAGCAAAATATATGGAATTCTGGCAATGCCCAATAGCCAACATATAATGAAACACAACTGAGCTGAAACTGCTTAATAGGTGTATTTTTCAACACAAAAAAAATGCTTCCACATTTGATTAGTGCTAATGGTGCATCCATATGGTTCCTATACAATGTCATGTAGAGATACCAAAGTTAAATTTGAAAATAACAGACATAAATTGTGGGCACATGTGAGTGAACTCTGAGTGTGCTGTAAAAAAAGGGGGGGGAGCAGGGGGGAGATGAGGAAAGAAAATCCAAAACCCAACCCGAAAACAACAGTGAAGGAACTATGTGTGACACATGAGCCAGCTGGAAAAGCCCTTTGACTCACTCACATAGACGAAACAACTAAACTATTGTTTAGTTGATTTGGCTTGGTTTGATTTTTTTTTTTAGCTAAGGACATCCAGCCTTAGCTCATGTCAGACAAAAGCATTGTTTTGGTCATGAAATCATTTCAGCTGGTCCCTTCCTGTCTAAATCATTAACGTGATGAAGCTACTTGGGGATGAATACATGTCTGAGAAGCACTGGACTGCATTTCTCTGCATAGGTTAGAAATCCGGCTGAAGCAATTTAGCAAATATTTACCTAAGCTAATATATCACAGCTATGCTCTTTTAGCAAAGTAGTTTCCTTTGAAGGAAGGTGCAATCAATTTTATATGTCTAAACTGTTTATTCTTATTTCGTAATATGACTTCCTCCTCTTATTCTGCCACAATTTTATATTTTTCAAGGAAGTGCAATAAAGTTGACAGATTTCTCTCCACTGAAGCACAGCTTTCTTTCCTAGTCCTCAAGACTTATTTTAGATTAAGATTCTTCTGGCTTTCACATGAAGAAAATAGTGTAATATCTACTGGGACTTCATTTGTGTGTGTTTAAACTTGATTTTCAAACTGGATATAAAGTGATAATTATGAGGGTCTGTGAAGTGGTTCTCATTTTCAGTGTACTTCACAAAGAGAAACTGTTCAGCGTTCAATACCCTACAAGGCAGAAAGGTAAGTAAAGTTTCATTACTCAGATTCTTGTCTAGTAGGTGGGCTGTAGAGATTCAAACCAGCACTTCCATAGACAATTCCCAGTGCTTAGGCAAAAAAGACCTAGTTTTCAGTTCTTAGCTGGCAAACTTCCACACTGCTTATATATGGGTTTATGACTTGCAGGTTGCCCAGCACTCCTAATACACATACCACACTTTAAGACTATCATAATTATGTATTCTTTTCCATGGCCTCATATTGAATGGAAGGAGAGCTGCACCAGGCTGGAAGAGGACTTGGTGCTCTACCTTCTCCCCAGTGTGTTCAGCCAGCCTACTTCATATATTTTTAAGTAAAAATCATTTTGTCTGAGCTGACTGACTGTGGTCCTGGTTCTGCACAGATCTACTTACACGGGTGACTTCCTGCATGAGGATAATTAGCTACAATAATCCTTGATGCACAGCAGGTCAAACACATCCATGCCTTTTTTTTGCAGTATGAGACATTAGCAAAAGCAAAGGAATTGAATGCAAACCTTTTTTTACACCCAGTTGGATTTTGACACCAGAATATTAACAACATTATAAAATTACTTCTCTATACAGCAAATACTTTTAAAATACAACCTTTTTTTTTTAACAGATTGTAACAAACTGGCCCTTATTTGGTCTGAGCACGCAGAGGTGCCCGTGGGAGGGAGTGGTTTGCTCACAGAACATTCACCCTGGGCAAACGGCTGCACAAGCAGCACCATAACGTTGCCACCATCATTTTTTTAAAGCAGCAGAAGCAAAGGTTAATTGCTTGCATTTACTTCACAGTTCAAAGTGACCTCATACAAAAGATTTCACCTAACAGCTGCTTGAACTTTATAGCTTGAAATTTCATACAATTTGTTGGAATTACCTTTTAATTAGTCCTTTGGGGTTATATGTGGTGTTTATTGATTAATCCTTCAGTAGTTGTTTTTAAATAACAGAGTAATTACCTGTGTTGGGTAGCCCAGCCTCACTCCACCATTCCCTCACCCTCCTTTGCAGTGTTGAGTGGGGACAGCAGCACAGAGCCAAAGTGTAGAGAGGGGAGGAGAAAGATCTTCAAGCTCCTGCCTATTTAGCTAACCCCATAAGTAGAGGTATTTCTTGTTCAGCACAACACACAGAGCCTAGATTACTTTTCCCCATGGAGAGTCAGGCTTTTTAGATTTGGAGCTCTGCTTTTCCTAATATGGCTGCAACTGTGGCTTGGGCTGGCGTCACCGCCTGCCTGTCCCCACTTCCCACCTCTCTCATGGGATAAGCAAACAGAAGACTGCCATCCACGGATGGTTGGTGCCATCAGCCCCTGAGGACTGTGGCAAGAGCTGACAATAGCCAGACTTTTGCTACTGGTTGTGTCAGCAGAGAAAATAAGTGTGAGGTTCTGTCATGCTGGACACTGGAAAACCAGTCTTTTCCTGAGCCAAGCAGCTGAAGCAGGAAGAGCAAGGAGACCATGGAGGGAGTGAGGGTTATAGGGACAGGGCAGGGGACATGCAGTGGCAGTCTAGACTGTGACAGCATGACAGATGCAAGGGAAAGCAGCACCAGAGAGGGCCCCCATAAAAGGCATCATCAAATACCACCCTCCTGTGCATGTGCAGTCATTTTGTGCCCAGGTGGAACTGCAAAGAGCTACAAGGCAACACAGAATTGGGTTTATAGGCTTTCCTTATACTTCTTCATCAGGGAATGGCTTTTGGCTGCTGTCTGCTGCTTGGCCCTCCCAGCTCCCACTGAACTTGGAGAAGCACATGCTTCTGGAGTATCCCCACACTTCAGCCTGGTTTTGTTTTTGTTGACTTCCAACACTGCTATGAGGGAGACTATTCTGGGGTCCTGTCAGCCTCTCTGTTTATTCCTCCTGACCCCCTACCACTTCTCAACTCTTCCAGGTCCACCAGACGGCATGGTTTGCCTTCCATGAGCTCTCCGCCCTTCCCAGATACTGGGAGAAAGGGAGCCTTCAATAATTAGCACATATCTGCTTGGAAAATATAGATCCTTATCCAGTTTTTGAGGCAGAAAACAAAAAAGAATAAGCTGATTCATATTCCAAATCCCATAGTAAAATTCAAGCAAAAGCATTATTCTCTCCTCTCTGTTTACCACCTGTGCTTTGTTCAACAGTTTGGAAAAAGATGCTGCACTTGGTGGGTTGGCAGTCAGATGTTCCCAACAGCTCTTGTGAGGTGGAGTTGTCTGTAGGCAGATGCTCACTGTTGTACCAGCAATGAAAATCAGATGCATTGCAAGTTTCAACCTCGGAAGCTGTATCTAATGGCAAACACTGTTTGTTGGTTACTGTAGGAAATGAGTATCTGACCGAACTGCTAAGAAGCCAAGGCTGTGGCTTCAGGTTCCGGCAGAGATAAATTAACGGTTTTCAACACCCATAAATAAGTTTTTTTTCCTCTTCCCTTCCATTGCTCTACTATCACATGGGAAAGTAATTCAGCTCTGTAACCCACAAAATGTTTATTCACAGTTTGATTTTCCACTATTATAACAATCAAGAGAGTTGACATAACAGGTAAGAAGAGGACCACCAGGAGTGGCCCATGATAAGCAGCAGGAGTGTATGGCTGGGAGTGGGGAATGGAGGAGAACAAAACCTTCCTTTTTTCCCCCATCAATTTGGCTCACATCATAAGCTGAAGCTCTGCACTGAGGTGCAGATTTACAGTGCCGTACAGTCAACAGCTGCATGTTCTGCCACTGGGCAATTCTACCTCTCTTAGAAATTTCACCTCGGTAATGTTGAGTGGGACATTTCTACCCATTAGCTGATTGATTCCTGTAACCCCTCCTGTACACAGCAGGGCTCTCCTGCTCTGGAGAGAGAAACTCTGAATCAGAGCAGCCAAGATGCGATTTTTACTTCATGACTGCAAAGAGATAACTCGGAATTTCTAGCTCTCCATCTGCCTTCTGCTCACACTCTGCCCTTATGCCCACCCCACTAGTCAAATCTTCCTAAAGAATAGCAACTACTTTTTCAGTTCTTCTATTTCAAATAAAAAATCATCTCCTGTTTTCAGGGAATTAAACAAGAGCAACATCATTGATGTTGCGAGGCTTAAATACCATTTTTTTGCTTTGAAGAAAATCCTGGAAGACTCCTCTTTGGAGTAGTATTTGGCAGGTTGTACATGGGGCATCACCTGAGTTTTGATCCACAGAAGCCAGCAATAATTAGATAGAAAGCAGGCCAAGAGCAATTCAGGGAATCATGCTCAAATAGCCTATCTCCAATGACACAGAAAAGGCCTGTTCCCATGGTCAGCTCAAAGATTTGCAGTGCTGCCTTCTCTCTGCTGCACTAATGGGAGGATTCCTCTGCAGAAAACAACTCATTTTGTACAAGACAAGCCAGTATATCAGGTAGGAAAGCAAAGCAGACTGCTCAAATAACTTAGACTATTTTCTTACTTTATACCAAGACACTGTCTGGTAGGAGATTGAGGAGTCCTGAAGAGCTTTACAGGGCAGCACCACGTCCTCAGCACATCTCACAGCAACATCTGGGATCATCACAGAAGTCCCACGGATCAAGCACCAAACTGCAAAGCACAGGTACACATCACCTTTAAAAGAGATTGCTTACACAATCCTTCCTGCCTTCCTTCCCAAAACATCTCCCCACAAAACAAACATGAAAGACCAGAAGGAATATTGCAGGACTGCTCACTTACCGTTGCACAGGATGATGAGCAGAGCACAGACTCCCAAAGACATGGCTTTTATGCTTCAGATGATGGAGCAGCAACAGCGTGCCTGTCTGCAGGATGGACTGTGAGATCAGAGTGAAGCTGGGACTGCTTCTAGAGTGATATTTCTGAAGGCAGACTGGGGAATCCCCCAGACTTATCTTGAGGATTTCGTCATAGGGAAAATCCCTACATGTATGACCAAGGCTCCTCCCCTTAAATCTGTGAGGTCACTCCCATTTCTGCAAACACTTGCAGTGATAGCAACTCATCTCCTTTTTTTCACCTTTTTCTCCCCCTCTGTATGATCTGAACAGAGTTAGGTTTGACTGAGGGGCGCTGTGGGTTGGTGTGAAGGCCATCAAAACCAGCACTCAATGAATCTCTCTTGAGTGACAAAATGTTAGGGGAAAGGGCTTGCCAGCTCAAAATCCCCTCTCAGCCTTCTCTCTGCAGTTCTAACAGCACAGTGTCAGCGCAAAGGTTGACCTTATGATGTGACATTTCTGAAATCACATTTAAGACCTCAGGTCACAACACCACAGAAACACTTTGACTTGGGGCTAAGGGCGAAACAGGAATTATCAGCATGGCTGAGCCAAACAAACTGTGTTTCAGTAGAGCTACACATTTAACTCTGCAGGTAGGCACACATGAGGTAGAACATTATTGCTTAGCATATTTTCTCATTTTCTAGGCAAAAAAAAGGTATCTTGAGTGACATAACTTTACAAATTATATGCTGGAAAATTTCATCTTGGAAATAGGCAAGGCAGCTCCCAGAAGAGGAACCAACCATTTGGACATCCCCTCTAGATTCTGGAGGGGGAGGGGAAATCCTTTCCCTGTGATCTGTGAGAGCTGTTTACCCCTTGAGAATTCTTGAGGAAGTCCAAGGTCGATTACAGAAGCATTTACAAATCCTGAAACTGAAAGTTGCTGATGTTATTTTTGGAAAATGCTTGTGGCTGCTGTCTTGAGGCTACTGAGATCATGATGGAGACAAGCTGTTTAGGAGAGGGGGGGTTAAGATTTGATGAGTGGAGAATGTATGGTCAGCTCCTTTTGAAAACCAGGTTCTGGAAGCCACTCCAGTCTGGGCATTCTAAATCCGAATCACCTCTAGAAACCTTTGTGAGGACAAGTCAGTTTGACAAGTCCTCACCATGCTAAAGTCCTACTCAGAGTCCTACTCAGATGAGTGAATGCTGTGGGTGGGTAACACTTTTGGAAATTCCAGTCTGGTTCTGTGAAGAAAGTCAAACAGCAATTTCACTGGGGGCCTCACTGTTGAAATAGCCCACTTATTTTTAAAGCTTTTTGCTTCTATCTTCATTGACCATAACGGTAAATATAACAGGCTCTAAGCTTTATTTTTCTCTTTAAGTTTTCTGGTTTCAATGACCAGGACCTCAATCAATTACTGAGAAAGTACAAGTGAAATATAAAACCCAGTGGACCTCTTGAGAGTGAGAGAAAATCACTTTTTCCTGTGTGAAATAATAGAGCCCTTGAGAAGATAGAAGGGGGGGGGGGGAGTCTGCTGAAGGAAATCTTACAGAGAAGAGGGCTCCAGTTAATATATTTCACATCTGTTCTTCACTAAAATGATGACTTTTCTGCCCCCACGAGTCAGTCACACATCAAGCCCATCTCCAAGAAGGGCACTCAGCTTTCACCCAAGGGCCTCTTTCTGTGAGTCCTGCAGAGCTACGTGTTTACCCTTCATAAACCCATCAAGAGCCACAACCTTTCTCTGTCTCCCTTTTCATCATGAGGAAACCTCCATGAGCAAACCACAGCAAGCTCCTGTCCCTGCTGTGGGTCAGTCCTTCCCCTGGTGGCCTGGCCAGCAGCAGCCGGGGTGGCTGTGGCAAGCCTGAGCCTGGAGTCTCAAGTTTGCCCACAGGGAAGTGCAATGAAGGTAAGTGTAAAGGACCAGGCTGCAGCACTGGGAAATGTACATGCCACACACACACTTGCCAAGAAGATGTTGAACAACATTCTTCCTCAGTTAGTTAAAATGCTGGACCCTTAAAAACACATGGGTTTTCCCTCCAGGACAGGCATAACTTCAAGCGAAACAGCCCTTTTCCTCCAGAAGTATTTGCAAGCTCAGCTGCTGTTCCAGGGCACACTGCGTGAAGCAGGAGAGCAAGATATAAAAAACAAAAGCTGAAACTCCCTTTGCTAGGGAAGGAGAAATAATTTGGTTTCTAAATTTTCCCTGGCAGGGATTTTTTTCTTTAGGGAAATTTTGAACTGGGCTGTACTTTCCATCCTAACTTTTAATATTCTTTCTATGGTTTCAAAGATCAAGTCTATTGTCTCCAGAGCCCTGGAACTTGCTTTGAGTTTCACTGAGCAGTGGAAGCAATGGGAGCTCTGTGGCGTGGGTCCGGGTGTGGGAGTGAAGAGGTAGTGATTGCCTGTCAGCCTTCTCCACGAGAAACACATCTACATCTTTGAGGGCCCTCAGCAACTGCAGGAGCTGTGCAGTTACATGAATAAGTGGAAGTTTATCATGAAATGCTCTGTTCTGTTGGCCTAGTGAGACCTGCCTTTGTGCAGGGTGTCCTGTTGCCTTTTGCTCTCCTCTCCTGGCCTGCAGCACTCACCACAGCAGCGCTGAGCCCTTGATCTCACTGAGGAAGGAGCAGCATCTGCTCTGCTGAGTGCAGAGCTGCACACGTGATGACTGACATTAGCAAGCAGTGTGTAAAACTGCTGCCTTCTGCCCACCTTTCCCTTAGCAAGGGCGCTCATTTGGATCCTCATCTTTGACCCAGCTGCTGATTTTCGTGAATTTCATAGACACTTAATTCTCTTTGAGCCTCGATCCCTCTGTCAGTTTGATAGAAAGCAGGTTCAGAACATACTGGCTGATAGACAGCCAGATGGTATGATCACAGAAATTTCATTCTCTGTGGGAAATGAGGCTAGAAGCACAAGGATGTGGGGTGGATTCATAGGATAAGGTTAAAAAGTCAAGACTGTATATTTTTTTTCACTGTTGATAGAGCCTTGGAAATGCTGTTCATGAACTCGTATCCTGTTTCCTCAAACCAGGTAGGTACTACATCCCTCATCCCTAGTGGAGCCGAGTTTTCCTGATTTCTCACTCCAGTGTGTGCAAAATACTCTCACTCCAGGCTGCAAAATATACAAGAATGCTTATTTCATGTGTTTTCTCCTGGGTGCTTCATCAGGAAGCACAGCATTTAAGAAAACCCAGAACCTTAGGTCTCTACAAGGAATACAGAGCTCTCCACAATGAAAGTTTAAAGGTTAAGACAATGGTGTCAAAACAGCATTTAGCATTTTTCTCCAGGCACAGATTTTTCTGTATTTAGGATATGATTATCAAATATCATTTGTTCCACCTCATTTAAGCTCCTGCTGTGAATAAGGTCCATCCACGTGCTTCATGTCTGTTGTAAAGTCTCTGGTGAAGAGGGTTGTTTATTATTATTAATCTCCTGTGCAGCAATAAAAATTGTCTGCTTCAGTTCAGCTAGCAAAACTGGAAGCCTTTTGCTATATGTTTTAGCAGACAACTGTTTTTTAAATAACATACTGTGTGTAACATTGCAATGTCAGCTATGGAACAGTGACAGAAGAATCCACAGGCACAAAAGCAGAGCAGTCATGTATTTTTAGGGGTCCAGCAGAGCTGCAGCCACAGCGTGTATTTTCCTGTTATGCCTTGATCTTGATGCTGCCCACACCAGCAAGTAAAAGCAACTGAGACTTCCCAGGCTGCAGTTAATGAGAGGTATGTAGATTACTCACAAACTGGAGTGAGGAAAGTTTAAGGACAAGTTCTCTTCTCTGCCCCTTTATGGTAGATGTTGGGTCAGGGACTGCCTTTGCTATTTAAACAGTAATGATCCAGCAATACTGAGAAACCAAAACACTGGAACTGTGACCTGGTGGGGAGAACAGAGCTTTGTACTACAGACTGTCTGCTGCTGCCAGCTCAATAAATAACACCCAATTAATTATACACAAACAGGCAGTCCTCTGAAATGCCTGGACTTTGGAGTGAGCCATTTGAGATGTGCCAGCCCTGTTTGTCAAAGTAGGAATTAAGCATACTCAAGTGGAAATTGAAGTGCGACCAAAGGAACAGATCCAAAATGGAGGCATCCAAAATCAGAAACCTCTTTAAATAGTGTTGACCTGGGAGCTTAGGAATTGCCTTTAGGCAAGAAGGGAGCAAGAGATTATCACAAGTCTATACACAAGACTGTAAGAATGAGGATAAGGCTGTACTGAAGCTGCACCTAGTCCAGCATCTTTGCTGTTTGCAGCAGCAGGCAGTGAGCTGTCAGGTAGCCAAGCAGCCCAAGGTGCTGTATTCAAACTTCAGTATCCACTGGAGATACACATTGAAATCTCATTTTTAACAGGGCCCTGGATCCTCTTTTTTCATCAGTTTGGTAGATGGTGCTTGTCTCACCAGGCCTGGGGACATCTTGCAGAGAAATCTTTGCAGATTTCAGTGTACTCTTCATTGTTTGCCCTACACGTGGGGTCATCCCTGCTGTCTTCACCAGAAGGTAAAGAGCAGATTATTGCTCCTGACATTTCTACTCAGTTGTTTCCATATAGTCCCTGCATTGTAGAGGTTCTTCTTGGATCTTGCATCTCCTTGCTACACCCAGCTGGGCATTGTTTTACTAGAGGCCTAAGTTCAGCATGTCTGCCCCTAAATCATGCTGTGGAAATGTTTACTCCTTCTGGAGCTCCTCTCTATTCTCTTGGCTGTACAACTTCCCTAGACACATTCTATGGGACTTCTTACACTGGAAGAAGTTAGAGATCCCAGTAGGTCACCTTGTACTCCTAGCTAATTCCATGGCCCACAGGGAATGCAAGTCATGAGCTACTCCTGGGAGCAGCCTGTGCTGACAGCAAGCCTTACAGGATGCCCTGACCATTGTGTGCCATCCAGGGACCCGGCCATGTACACACACCAACTGTGCCAAGCTGTGGCCCCTCTCCTGGCATCTTCCAGACTTCTTGTTTGGTTTTTTTTTAATACCTTCCTCATCTGTGGTCCCTCT